TGGATCTCTGGGATGACAAGGCAGCCAAGGTCGTAGAACCTTTTGTAGAGCACATTAATTACGGCGCGCCATGTAAGGCCTGAGATCTTATAACAGGCAGCGTGTCAGAAATCGATACAAATGTTGCAGGAAATATGCCATAGATCAATAAGACCAGTCAACCATCAGTTCCTTCTTAGGAATGAAGGTAACAACAAAGATAGCGATGAGATGAAGGAATCAAGGTCAGACAACTAAACTATGAAAGTGCTGTAAATGTTCAACAAACTCTGGTGAGGAAAAATAATATGACAGTGGAATTTGCAAATTTGTTACAATAAAGTTTAGCAGCGTCAAATTTTCAATCAGTTCCAATAAGTTTGGACACTCAAGAAAACTTTTTACTGACTCAGAAAACCACAAGAAGAACCTGACCTGCTGCAGGGATGCATGAGGACTGCAGGTGTGGCCAGAGCAATAAACTGCAATGCACCGCATCCCAAAGACGCTCAATTGGGTTGAGATCTGGTGAATGTGGGGGCCATTTTAGTACAGTGAACTTATTGTCATGTTCAAGAAACCAATTTGAAATGATTCGAGCTTTGTGACATGGTGCATTATCCTGCTGGAAGTAGCCATTGGAGGATGGGTACATGGTGGCCATAAAGGGATGGACATGGTCAGAAACAATGCCCAGGTAGGCCGTCGCATTTAAACGATGACCAATTGGCACTAAGGGGCCTAAAGTGTGTCAAGAAAACATCCCCCACACCATTACACCACCACCACCAGCCTGCACAGTGGTAACAAGACATGATGGATCCATGTTCTCATTCTGTTTACACCAAATTCTGACTCTACCATCTAAATGTCTCAAATGAAATTGAGACTCATCAGACCAGACAACTTTTTTCCAGTATTCAACTGTCCAATTTTAGTGAGCTCTGAATCAGTCGGCCCATTCTCCTCTGACCTCTAGCATCAACAAGGCATTTTCGCCCACAGGACTGCCATATACTGGATGTTCTTCCCTTTTCACACCATTCTTTGTAAACCCTAGTGCGTGAAAATCCCAGTAACTGATCAGATTGTGCAATACTCAGACCGGCCAGTCTGGTACAAACAACCATGCCACGCTCAAAATTGCTTAAATCACCTTTCTTTCCCATTCTGATTAAGTTTAGAGTTCAGGAGATTGTCATGAACAGGACCACACCCCTAAATGCATTAAAGTATCTGCCATGTGATTGGTTGATTAGATAATTACATTAATGAGAAATTGAACAGGTGTTCCCAATAATCCTTTAGGTGAGTGCATATATACCCAGATAGCAAACTGATATTGAATCAACGTGGAAATATGACATCGAAACAACGTTGATCTGACATTGTTTTGCTCATCGAATTAACGTTGAACCAACGTCAGACGCGTCATTCTTTCAAAACTAACGGAAAATCAACTTGAAATCAACGCGTTGTTTCAACGTTATGAAAGCAAACCAATTTTCGATTTTCATTTAGCTTTGAAGAATGCTGCGTCTGACGTTGGTTCAACGTTAATTCGATGAGCAAAATCAACGTTGTTTTAATGTCATGAGAGACGTCGCTTCCACGTTGATTCAATGTCAGTTTGCTGTCTGGGTATATATATATATATATATATATATATTAAGATGAGGTCAAGATGATAACAGCACATTCATAAATACATGTAGCCATCACATAGAGATAATTACGGATGCAGTGCCATTTTCCAGAGCTACTTTCGGCTTCCACTGTTTACCCACTACTGGCCACCTGTTGCTGCTAATGAGTGTAGTGGGGTGTGAATGTGAGCAGCTCCCAGCTGTAACCCAGGGTTCATGATCTAACACACTGATACTGGATATAATTGACATTGGTGGCATTGGGCATGGTTAGGCCGGGCTCCTACAGTTTAACTGCCATTGACTTAATGACCGAGGCAGAGGGGCGCTCACACCGCTAACCCGAGAGCATGTGGCCTCGCGGGAGGGTTTCTACAGCCAGGGCAACCATGGCAACAGCTGAGCCTTATTGCTAACTAACACAAACATTGCCTGCACACACCACGTACAAACACAATAACCCAGCTTCACAGGTTAGCAGGCACAATGAGATTAAGGAATGAAGGGGACTCCTTTACGTTAAGCAAAGTGCAAGGCAAGTTTGCTATAGTCTGTGCCGAAAAAATCAATTCTAGTATGCGAAACCAATTTTAAATTGGTTTGAAATGTGGCTGACCAGTCATTAGGTGTGCAAAACTAATAGACATCATATATGCAAACAAGGCTGATAACCAGTGTTGGGAAAGTTCACTTTCTACATGAACTAGTTCAAAGTTCAGTTCACATTTTAAAATGAACTAGTTCAGTTCATACTTCAAAAAATTAACTAGTTTTTTTTTTTTTCATTTTTCATTTTTTATTGCCACAGCCCATATACAACCAGAGGTAACAATTATTTTATCGACAGGCAGTTTGCACAGAAATGTACGATTTTTCCCATCCTCACCGACCTCGTCATAAAATCCATTTAAATGATCATACGACGCCTCCTCGCGCACTGCTTTTTTTGACAGCAGCCGCGGTGCGACCTTTTCTACAGTCTATGGGTGTGACACTCTTGTGTTGCCAGATTGGGTGTTTTTTCACTACATATTAAGGCCTGTTCACGTGGGTTTTAGCCGGGTTTTCGTCTGGAAGTCTCTATAGAAATCTGGCACCCTATTGTACGAAGTTAAACTGAGAGAGCGTGTGTTCACAGTAACGTTCATCCGGCAGTAATACAGTACATTCAGTGTACGTTCGCTCAAAATATGAACGCGTTCACTGCTGATAACAAATGAACACGCAGGCGGGGAAATTTATTCATTAAAGACAATATTTCTAATCATAATACTTTATTATTACAATTATACCATTTTCAATATGTATCAAAAACGATAAAAAAATGCTGCATTCTGCTGCTTGGCCTTTAGATGGCGATGCAACACTATAGACTGAAAACGTAATACGCATGTGCATGACGCCATTGTTTTCACAGATTCACGTTTTTGTTGTTTACACAAACAGACCGTTTTCAAAAACGTGCACTTTGAAACCTATTTTCAAAAGTTTGTGTTTTCAGGCACCCAAAACGCCGTTGTCATGTAAATGACCGGCCAAAATGCATAAAATGTCTGCAGTTTTTAGTTGAAAATGGTGTCGTATAAACAGCCCCTTAGGGAGTATGTCGAAAGCCACAAGACACTGACATTGTTATACGATTTGGAAAATGAACACAATAAGCTTTTATCAGAATAAATGTGGTTTGACAATGTTTATTATTTGATCTCAAGTATGATAGAAACAAGAGAAGAAAAACAAGCAAAACAGTCAACAAGGAACATGAGACTCTTTGTTTTGGTTTAGTTCAATCTCACTATGAAAGAATTTGGAAAGCTCTCGAGTCTAAATCAAAGACAGACTACAAAAATGTTTTGTTCAATAGGGTATCAATCCTTGAATTAATGATAACAGTCGGACGTCCCAGGAAAATAAGGGTTGAGCAGAAAAGCAGTTGTCCTGAGTTAGAGACATACACCTCATGCAGGGAAAGATAAAACAACTCTCTCGGCCTGGAACGAAATAAGTCGTAGCTGTGCGTTTGTACGAGATCCAATGCGCTATACAAAGAGAATGTAAATGAACTTTGAATGTCATCAGCTTCAGCCTTTCATTTTCCACCCTACGACTCTCCCTTTTCTCCCACGAACGCACACACACAGGCCCAGCAGTGTGTAAAGGAAGCACTGGATGTCAGAGACCTAGGCAGGGCCATGCGTTTCATCTTCTGAGATACATCAAAAGACACACACTAGCTAAAAGTAACAGCACCTCGCTGATTGATAATGCTTCAAGTTCTGTACTATACGTGTCTCTAGAGGTCACACACGCACGCATACAAAGGCAGAGAGCACATCAAGGTCTACATGGTAATGTTTGGTGTCTTCACAGATGCTCTTTCGGGTTTCAATAACCGAAGTATGTGATGTTTGATATGCCAACAATACACACAAACAAGATCACAGATTGTCTCGTGTTTGTGGTATGGAAGGTAACATCTCTTTTTGTCTACCTGGTTTTAAGGGGGAAAACCCTGAAATATTAAACGACTTCTCCACAGGATAGGAGAAGTGTGAGACATTGTGTAATTCATTTGCATGAGCAGATAAATCCAACCAATCTGATAAAAAAAAAAAATGTATCCATTTGTGCTTATAAATAATAATGAGATTAACTTTTAACCCTCTGGCTTTGAGAAAATAAATCAATCATGGACATGATTCGAAAAGGTTAAATGGTCCTGAAAAAAAAAAGTCACTTTTACTCCACAAATGACAGCATTGGAAATTAATTTCTAAATTCTAGTGGAAACGTTTGGTACTGCATCCAAACAAAATTTTACTTAAAGCAAATTTTTTGAGATATCAACCTCAGATTTGGAAACACTTATGTTTTTATGATTTATGGCTTTGATTTTCTTGCAGTTAGAATAAAAACATGTTTTGAAAACTATATGTTTCATATACAATTTGAAAATAGCATTTTTGTGCATTTTTCATAAGAAGTTTAAACTTTCTAAACTATTTCTAAAAATACAAAACATTAAGTAAAAACATTATCAAACAAAAAAAAAAGTATTCATATCATTGGGACTGCCACACGAATAACACCAGAGGTTTAAAGGGATAGTTCACCCAAAAATGACGTTTCTGTCATTTACTCACCCAGTCATCATTCCCAACCAGGGGTGCGTTTCCCGAAAGCATCGTTAGCCAACTATGGTCGCAAGTTGGTCACAATTTCCATTGAACTCTATTGGCAACGACGGAACTTGCGACCATACAGTAGTTGGCTAACGATGCTTTCAGGAAACGCACCCCTGTATGACTTTCTTTTGTGGAACATTTAGAAGCTGCCCTTTTCCATTTAAACAATCAAAATAACGCGGAGGCAGGAGTTGTTAAACTCCTATGTTTTATTAAAGTTCGGTAGCATATTCAGTTAATTAACACGAGTGGAGTGGAGAACTCAGCAATCAATGATAAGAGTCATAAGGTATATATAGATTCAGCAATCTTCACTCACTCCATTGATAGTTTAGCAGCATCCCTTCCAGTCCTAAACACTTAGATAAGGGGAACTCTGGAGACAGCACGCCAAATACGCATTAAATCTTATCCACTCTAATTATATGTGTGAAGTATCATAAAAGTATATTCCAAGTCTCCTGAAGCCATAGCTTTGTGTAAAATTCACAGAGATTTAAGTTGTTATTCAGTGAAAACCTTGCATTTGATTGTATAAGAACAACAGCTTGGAAATTCTACTATAAATAACTCCTTTTGTGTTTCATGAAGAAAACCGAATGCATTTTTGAAAGACATGAGAGAGGAGTTAAAGATTACAGAAATTTGATATCTGGATGAACTATTCCTTTACAACTGAAAGATCCAAAAGAAACAAGTTGGTTCTTCTAATCTCAAAGCTGTGGGGCATGTGGAGCTTTATTAATAAGCCAAAAAAATTATCAAGGATAAAAACTGGGGGGGGGGTCTGTGATGCTTCTGCACACTTTAAGACTCAACTTCGTTCCTTTCACGCAGTGTATGCTGGTTTAAAAGGCATAGAAGAGGACATTGAAAGGAAATGAGTAATACTATGGCACTTCATGAATGGCTCATGTGTCCAGCCTGAGATGTCATATCTGAGAAAAGTTCTTCAGTCCATGTCCAGATCCAGATCCAGCTCAGTGCTCAGGTTGAGGTAGAAGAATGCATAGATGCCTAACAGGAAGACCAGAACAGCCACAATGACCAATATGATGTCCTGCAATCAGAGAAAAGATAAACGGTTTACTCTTTCGGATTCAGACGTTGCTAAATTAAACAATAAGAATTAACACGGAGCACTAGCATCAAATTAATCCATAAAAGGGGCTTTCGCACCGGATTGTTGTAGGAACACAGTTACAGGAACTAGCCATCAGGCCGGTCCCCCAAGATCTATGTTTCCCTCTGGCAATTTCCCACCAGTAGGAACTCTGAAGTGATGCAAGCCAGTTGACAATGACAATGTTTAAGCGCGGCATTCAACGTCTCCGCAGGATAAAGGTTGAATAGTGCCTGCACTTCGGCGTTGATCCATCTATCGCTGTTTTCCATGTTCGTGGAGTTAGTTTTAGTTTAGTACGCATATGTCAACTGTGTTTACATGGCTTCATAAGAATGGCAGGTGCGTTTTTTTATATATCGCAAGTGTTCGGCCAATCAACGTATACGCTTACGTCACTGTTAGTTCCAATTGTGATGTTTGACTCTAACTCTGACGTAGGAGCTAATTGAGTCCCCTAAAAAGATGTTCCTATCCACCTTATTCTGCTCTAAACAATGTGCGCTGCCATGACGACGACTCCGGTTGCCAATCGGTTCGAATCTGGTATGCTTTTTTGCCATGTGTTTCAGATTGTGTCCCCACATCGCTAAACTAAATCTTTTTTCTTTATAACTTCTAAAGGATATCTGATGCATGACTGCACAATCTCCTGTTTTTTTTCCAATATAAATACGAACACGATAAATAAAATAAAAATTAAATTTTATGTTCTGTGGAGGCCGACCCTTCTTCATCCGATTAGTAGGCTATTACTTTTGTTTTGCGCAGTGTAATTCATAAAATTACTAAAAATATATATATTTTGCCACCAGAAAGTTAAAGATTTGTTGTGTTATGAGTATTTTCGCTCATATTAATTATAAAACGCATGTGTAGACTGATATTTTTCTAATGTCCGGACTAGAGCGCTAGCATTCTATGTTAACAAAGACTTCATCAGGACGTAGAAAACCGTTTAGTCAATTGAACCCGCTATGTCTTATGGGAAATAGAACGGGTGCAGAATAAAGTGGATAACTAAAATATTTCCTAGTTCCTGTGGTGTGAACAGGCCAAAAATAGTCTTGTGTACTATGAAACTATGAAAACATTCTACCGGTGCGAAAGCCCCTAAATGTTGACTCCAATGTGCCCCTAAACAATGACTCCAATGTGTTCTGAAATGTGTTGGTTCATTCTTAAAAATTGGATCTGAAACAAAAAAGTTTAAGAAAGAATGAAATGCTCTCCTTTTCATGGCATGATCAGACTCAAGAAGACTGATCATAACAAAACACAGATATGTAATTCACAGCACAAATGTTCAGCATTGGTATCAGTATATTTGGAGCTCTTTATCTTTACTCTCGCTGTGACACAAATAGGGGTTGGCAGACCCAGCAGGCTCAGAGAAAGTTAATCTCCCAGAAATGTCTTTGTTCTAATTAAGAGTTGTTGGGAGCTTAATGCCCGAGCTAAATTGATGATGGCTGAAGGAGTGGTATTCAAGCATGAATTAGATTTAAAGCAGTCATTTATTACCTTTTGTGTTAAATTACAATCCTCATCAACCTGTTTCATTAGGAGCACTCAAGTATTTAACTAAGCAATTGTTCTTTATCTTGATAACTCGTTATCAAACTTTCTAATCAAAACTTATGCGCTTGCGAGACTTCCTTTTGGCTCAGTGTACTTGAAGTTGATGTTTTTCTAGACATGAATTGCAATTAGCGGAATTTCCAAGGATATATTAAAAGCTGTGAGAATTTTTTTTTTTATGGCAAAGGTCTGCTTATAAGTTCATACAGTACACCCCCTGTAGAATTTGCAAGAAGTTTATTTTTAAGTATTCATTACTTCAATGAGCTCATTGTTTCTACCTTAAAATATTACGTGGTTTAAATTAGGACATTTTTAGCTAACTGTGATTTATATATGTACATTTCTGAAATACATAACTAAGACAGTTACTTCTGATAATAGATCTCTCTAAATTGAGAAATGAGGTGATGTGCAGTGTATATTATGAGAAATTTAAAGTGTTTTTTGATTTTGGATGCATATGTGTGTGTGTGTACTGTGTGTGTGTATATATGTATATATATATATAAACTGGTATAAAAGTAGTCTTGTATTGGAATGTACTATCGAAAAATATTCAAGGAGGCAACACATGACATTACGATCAAAGGAGATGTGAAATTTTGTACAGGACCATTTCTGTAATTTCATTTATTTTGCTTTGCGTGATATGCTTAAATATACGCAGATTTTTCAAGGAAAAAAATAAATAACGTATATATATATATATATATATATGAAGAGTTCAGATGCAAAAGCCTCTAAATGCCATTTGAAATTTTCTTCTTTAATGATGATTTTTATCAAACTTGTATATTTAAGTTCAGTAATTTCACTTAAATAACAATTAATAGGTAATCTTCATTGTCATTTAAGTGAAATCACTGAACTTAAATATACAAGCTTGATAAAAATCATCATTAAAGAAGAAAATTTCAAATGGCATTTAGAGGCTTTTGCATCTGAACTCTTCATATATATATATATATATATATATATATATATACACACACACATACATTATTTATTGATTCCTTAAAAAATCACAGATTTGATAGAGTGATATATATTATATACACACTAAAAAATGTTGGGTTGTGTCAGCTCAAATTTGGGTAAAATATGGACAAACCCAAATGTTCGGTTAAAAAATGTAATTAAAAAAATTACAGTTGAAAGTGAAAGCTTAAGTTGATTTAAAATTAGGGCTGTCAGTTAAACACGTTTTTAACGGCAGTAACGCAAACCCATTTTAACGGCGTTAATTTTATTACCGCTCGATTAACGGTCTTTTGGGCCTAGCAAACTTTGACGTTTTTTTCACATGCTTTTGCATCAGGACGCGAGCCACTTTTGCATGTTGATAAGAGCATTAAAATGAGAAGAAGAAAAAAAATAATGGGACAAAAATAAATCAAGAGACATTTAGAATAGATAAAAATTTGTGATTAATCGCGAGTTAACTATGACATTAATGCAATTAATCGCGATTAAATATTTTAATCGTTTGACAGCACTATTTAAAATGTTTAACCCAACATTTGGGTTTGTGCATATTTGACCCAAATTTGGGTTAAAACAACCTAGCATTGTTTAGAGTGTATATTATTTAAGATGCAGAAGATCTAACAAATTCTGAAAAGAGGCTATGTAAACAGGAGCACAACATGATAAAACGGGAGTGATAGGATGCATCATCTGTTATTTTAAACAAGACATTAATTCATTAATAAGCTAAAGGAATGAGATAAATGCAAATCATTTTGCCTATGGCCTGCTGTTGTTGTTTGATCAGTAATCCATGGCATCATGTATCCTCTAAAGTATGTTCTTCAAAGACAGGAGCACAGAGAAAGAAAGCAGTACAGAAAGTGAAATAATATCACACGCATCCATCTATTCCCCCTCCTGTGTTCATTCACACATAAACACATGCACACGCAAACTCACACACACATCAAACACCGAGCAGCAAGCAAATCCACCCCGAGCAGGCCGAGATAAGCCACCCAGCAAACAGGAGGCTAATAATAATTCTAGCAGATAAATTGTAAGGGGCTATTAAAAGCCTCCACGACAGCCATGACTATCTGTGTACAAGCTGCGGCAGCAGTCATCAGTGTGTATGTCCTCATTAGCACTCGCTGCCCGCTGCATTTATCTTGTTCCAGCCAGACTCCAAACAGCTTAAGCCTCTCTTAATTGGAAAACTTTTAAATTTCATGCACTTCAGTTTCATACATTACCAGAGGCCCACGCTGATTCACGTTCTTTATTTAACCGCTTTGTGTCGGAGCCTAAGTGTCATCACATCCAAAGGGAATTGTTTTCCGTTTGTCTCTTGTGTGGCAAAAGAAGGACAGAGTAGTTCAAATGTGTCCTGTTTACAAGAAGGTCAATGACTAGGACTGTCCAAGATGATGAAAATGAGAAATTGAACATTTTTGAAAAACACGACTAAACATTTTTTTTTTTTTTTTACATATTTTACATACATGTTGATTAAGTGTAAAAACTTTATCCATCACACATTTTTGAAATATGAAGATCATAAAGTTTTCTTAGTTACTCCATATGACCAATATTTACCATATTTATTAATATTTTGCATCAGCTTTTCTATTATCCTTTCAATTTCAACTTTTTACAATCATTAGATATGGCTTTTACAATCATTACGATTTTATTATTAGGGATGGGCAACGATTAATCGCGATCAATCGCATCAAAAATAAAAGTTCGTGTTTACATAATATATGTGTGTGTGTATAATAATTTTATATATATAAATACCCACACATGCATGTATATATTTAAGAAATATGTGCATGTATATATTTTATATACATTTATTCACAATTAATATTATATATAAATATAAATATTTGATATATTAATAACACGTTTTCCTTAAATATATACATGCATGTGTGGGTATTTATAAATGCAAATTAATTATACACACTACACACACATATATTATGTAAACACAAACTTTTATTTTGGATGCGATTAATCGTTGCCCATCCCTATTTATTATTATTGCTAAAACTATTTTTCATAGTTTTAGTTTAGTTAACAAGAACAACCCTGTTGCAATTTTACATTATTTTTAATGTGTTCGACGCGAAAAAAGTATATTCATGTGATCGCACCAAAAAATCCTTTCTTGAAAAGGTGAGTAAAAAGCCATGAATTTGGATGTGGTCTCATTCTTTTTTTATGAGAAAAAGACATACAGTAAGTCCAGAGGAGGCTGTGTGAAAATGAAATTGTTAGATGAGGGTATGTGAGTGAAGAGAGGAGACCTTGTTGTCTTGAGGAAGCTAATAATTCAGCGGCCTACGCTTCGGTCTCCCACATTCTGATGGAAA